AACCAAGCCCAATCCTAAACGTAACTTGGCACAAGCTTCTCAAAAAGGCTAATGGATTTATTCTAAAGCCCACTCGGGTTAACCCAAAATTCAGAGCTTTACACATTGAACACCAATATTACAAGTAAAAGCAACGACACTAACATTAGGCCATGTTCAAACCAATGGAATTGTTCGAATATGGATTGAATCAAATTAAACACAGATAGTGCTCTAAATGATAAAGATGATAGAACTTCTTGTGGTTGTATTTTTCACGATTATTCTGGTAGATGGCATATGAGGGTCTCCAAATTTATTGGAGTGTGATCGATCTTAAAAGATGAACTTCAAGACATATATATTGTGATGTTCTTAACTGGAGAGTTGGGATTTAGATATGGTGTGGTCAAATCAAATAGTCTGCATGTAAATAAATTTGGTGAAAGGTTTGACGGTTCAACCTGGTGGTCCAACAATCTGTATTTTATTCATGAACTTAGCAAGAAACAATGGGAGGTAATTTTCTTGCACGTTTGACGTGATGGTAATGATGTGGCAGATTGCCTTGTAAAGATGACACAGTTGGACATATTTGATCAAGTTGTTCTCGATTTGTTACAAGTAGATGAGTCGAATGTTTCTTTAAATGTTAATGAATATTGTCATCACCAATTTTATCTGGATGATTTCACATTTCATATTATAATATGGTATATTACATATAGTTTTTCATTTCATGTTAAATAGTTGCATGTAGTCCATGTTAATATCATAGAGTTGTATATTATAAATAGTATGACATATTATATTAGATATTATAATTAGTATATAAGTATATAGTCTATAGTAGGTACTAAATAATTGCATATATTAGATAGTTAAATGTTAAATAAATAGTGTGTTACATGTTTCATATTGTATTGTTTTATTGCATAATTAGTATACTATATAGTTTCATGTTAGGTTAGTCCATATTAATAGCCCATTTATTTCCTTTTTTAATAAATAAAAACCCAAAAAAGAGTCAATTGCATGTTAGGGAGTCCATTACATATGTTTTTACATAGGCCCAAAAATAACCCATATTTGCTTTACATATATAAGTGGTTTGTTTTGAAAGCTCTATCAGGAGGAAGGACATGTGATTCAACATTGCCAGGAATTTAGGTTTTGATACAATCGATGATGGATAATAAAGAGATTGAGTTCTTTGAGATGTTGATTAAAAGAAAGAAGTCAACGTGTGCACTTTAGAGTACATCAAGCCCACATATGGAATTGGGAAACCACTTGTTATAACTGTGAAGCCTAAAGTGACGAATCCAATACCCGTCACTCCAAAAATAGTGATTTCTTCTCCATCTCCATTCCCATTCAAAGACACGCGCAAGGTTTCGTGGAGCTATACCACTAATATCTCTGTGATAGAGGGGTAAAGTTAATATAAGGTCCAAAAGTGTTACAGGAAGTAAAAAATGACATTGAAGAGAAAGTGAAGGCACATGTTGAGGTAAATAGTGAAGTGTGCCACTTTATAAGGAGTGGTAGATGTTATTCTCCTCCCGAAACTTCAATGAAAGCTAAGAAGATGAAAGGCAAGGCACAAACACCACCATCTTAAAGAATATTTGAGGCTTAGCCTCCGCTAAGGGTTAATGAGCCTGTTACTGAAGCTCAGGCCCAAGAGTTCTTGAAAATTTTGAAACACATTGAATATAGCGTGGTGGAGTAACTGCACAAGCAATATAAGCATGAATATCGGTGTTAGACTTGTTGATGAACTCTGAGGTGCACTGAAATACTTTGTTTAATATGCTAAATTAAGCTTTCGTGCCAGAATACATATATGTGAATAAGCTAGATCGGATAGTAGGGCATATTGTTACGGATAATTATATTACCTTCACCAACGATGAGATCCCAGAAGGGGGCAGGGGTTCTATAAAGGCCTTAAATATCACTGCCCATTGTAATGGTCATGTGTAGGCTAGAGTTTTGATTGATAATGTGTTTCCACTTAATATGATCCCAATGGTTACTCTCTAGAGATTGCTGGTAGATGGCTCATATATGAAGGCATATCAAATTATTGTCAAAGCTTTTAATTGTACTCAGATGGATGTCATAAGGAAGATTGATGTGTCGTTATTGACAGGTCCAGTTGTTTACAATATTGAGTTTGTGATGATGGATATCAATCTGGCTTATAGTTGTTTATTGGGGAGACCGTGGATTCATTCTGTAGGAGCAGTGTATTTATCTATGCATCAAAAATTGAAGTTTGTCGTTGATGGGAGACTAATAAGTCTTGGAGTTGAACAGGAGATTATTTCCTCCGTAGCTACCGATGCTCCTTATATTGAACTAGATAAAAATGCTTTGGAGTGTTCTTTCTATGCCCTGGAGTTCGTAAATATCACTTTAATCACTGAAGGGAACAAAATTCCTCTTCCTCATTTTTCTAATTGAACAAAGATGACTATGCATGAGACCATGGGAAGGGGAGCAAAGATTAGAAAGGGTTTTGGATAACGTCTACAAGGAATTCTGCATACAAAACCTATTGTATTAAAGAGATATCGTTTTGGGCTAGGTTTTAAGGCTAATAATCAGCAACGCCATAAGGAAATAAAAAGAATAATGGGGGCAATAAAACATCGGTTAAGAGGAGAGGATATTCCTTGGGAACGTATTTCTCTTCCGCATATGAAGTATATTTTTATATCTGGAGGAATGTATGACCCTGAGTAACAGTTATTCAGTGTTATTAAAGAAACAGAGTTGATGCAAGATGAAGTAATGCTTGGTGATGCCATGGAGGGTTTAAGAATCAACATGGTTGAAGAATGCAACAAGCCAGGGAAATATCTAGCTGGTACTAACCCATGTTTTCCAGGAGAAGAGCTTAACAACTGGACTGTAGAGGATCTTCCTGTAGTTTCTAGGCTTAACCCAGAGTAATACTCGGAATAAACCCTTGTGCTTGTGCCCGTGATCATCAAGGGATCTTTTATAATGGGCAACCATGTTGATATTACTCATTTTGTTTCTAATAAAAAAATGATTTCATTCATTTCTCAAGTGACAATCGTTTTCTTGCATTTCACATTTCTTCATTTTTACATTTCTTTTATTTGTTTCTCTTTTCTCTCTCCAAAGTATATATTTGTTCCATATTTTCATCATAGGTGTCCCAATATTAATAACATGGACGTTTTTGTTTCTAATCATGAGATTAATCTTAAGCGGCTTTTGTGTTTAGAATATATTAATGAGTGTTAAAATGAGGTAGAATGTGAAGTTACGAATGAATTATTGAGATTGGTAGAAAATAAGATAAGCAAATTTTTCCTCAAAAAGAAGAAGTCGAGATTGTGAATCTGGGATCTAATGAAGAGAAAAGAGAAGTCAAGATTGGAAAAACCTTATCGCGTGAGGAAAGGAAGAGTTTGATAAATTTGTTGCAAGAATTTAAGGATATATTTTCCTGATCCTATCAAGATATGTCACGACTAAATACAGATATAGTGGTGCACAAAGTTCCAATAAGGCCTGAGTGCAAGCCAGTGCAGCAAAAGTTAAGGAGAATGAGGCCAAAGATGCTATTGAAAATTAAGGAAGAAGTGAGAAAACAAATCGATGCAGGTTTTTTTTAAGTGGCCAAATATCCTGAATGGGTAGCTAATATAGTCCATGTGCTGAAGAAAGATGGAAAAGTGTGTATGTGTGTGGACTATAAAGACCTAAAAAAGCGAGCCCAAAGGATAATTTTTCTTTGCCTCATATCGATACGTCAGTGGATAATATCGCTGGACATTCGTGGTTCTCTTTCATGGATGGTTTCTCGCGGGGTATAATCAGATAAAGACAAATCTAGAAGATATGGAGAAAACAACATTCGTTACATGATTACTATAAGGTGATTCCATTCAGGTTGAAAAATGCAGGAGCAACATATCAAAGGGCCATGGTGACCCTTTTTCATGACATGATGCACAAAGAGATTGAAGTGTACGATATATGATTGCTAAATCACATAATGAGGAGGGGCATATTGAAAATTTGAGAAAATTATTCCAAAGATTGAGGAAATACCAGTTGAAACTCAATCCAGCAAAGTGCACTTTCAGAGTAACGTCAGTAAAGCTTCTAGGCTTCCTGGTCAATTGAAGGAGAATTGAAATTGATCCAGATAAAGTAAAAGTAATTCAAAAGCTTCCATTTCCTCATACGTAAAAAAAAGTTCGAGGGTTCTTGGGAAGGTTGAATTACATTTCTAGATTCATCTCTCAATTGACTGATAAGTGTGATCCAGTGTTTAAACTACCCTGGAAGAATAATCTTGAATTTTGGATTGATGAATGTCAAGAGGCTTTAGAGCTAGTCAAGAAGTATATGTCGAATGTTCCTATCTTAGTAGTGTTAGTTCCTGGTAGACCATTAATTCTTTACTTAACAGTGTTTGAGGATTCAATATGTTGTGTGCTAGGGAAATATGATGAGTCTGAAAAGAAAGAAAGAGTGATCATTATTTGAGCAAAATATTCACTGATTGTGAGTCAAGATATCCACCAATTCAAAAGTTATGTTGTGTTTTTGTTTGGGCAACTCGAAGACTCCGACGTTATATGTTTATCATACTACATGGTTGATTTACAACCTTGATCCATTGAAGTTCCTGATGGATTCTCTAGCCTTGGCTGGGAGGATGGCTTGGTGGAAAATGTTATTATTAGTTTGACATTGTGTATGTGAGCTAGAAGGTGATAAAAAAGTGCCATAATAGATTTCCTCGCAAGTTGTGCCTCATATGATTATGAATCCCTAAACTTTAATTTTCCATATGAAGATTTGACGTGCATCACGGTTAAAGGAAATATTGAAGAGGACAAATCATGGAAGTTCTATTTTGATGGAACGTCTAATGCTTTGGGATGAGGAATTGGGCAGTGCTAATTTCTTCAGAAAATCTATATTATCCATTCACTAGTAGACTGGAATTCTTTTGCACAAACAATATGGTAGAGTATGAAGCTTATGTTATGAGTTTGAGAGCAGCCTTAGGAAGGGAAATAAAAGTGCTCAAAGTATACGGAGATTCCTCGCTGGTGGTTTATCAGCTGCTAGGTGAGTGGAAGACAAATGATCTAAAATTAGTTGAATATCGAAACTTGATGCTTGAACTATTCAAAGAGTTTGAAGAGGTCACATTCACTTATTTCCCTAGAGAAAAAAATCAGATGACAAAATCTTTGGCCACATTGGCTGCAATGTTTCAGGCAAGTAAAAGGGCAGATGTGATGCCAATCTTGATGGAAGTGTATAAGATCCTGGAACACTATTACATCTTGGAAGAAGAGGTAGATGGTCGTCCATGGTACCATGATATTTTTCAGTACATCAAGTATGAAACCTACCCGCAACGAGCATCTGAGATAGAAAAGAGAACGATTAGAAGGATGGTTGTAGGGTATATTCTTGATGGGGGAATTCTATATAAAAGAGATAGAGATCAAGTTTTGCTGAGATTTATCGATGCTAGAGAAGCAAAAACTATTATTGAAGAAGTGCATAGTGGAATATGTGAAACACATGAAAATGGTCTTTCTATGGCCAGAAAAATCATGTAGTATGGATATTATTGGTTTACCATGGAAAAAGATTGAGTAGAGTATACAAAAGGATGTCATAAGTGTCAAATCTATACTGATAAGATTCATACACCTCCTTTTCCATTGAATGTAATGACTGCAACATGACCATTCTCGATATGGGGCATGGATGTCATTGGGGTAATTTCTCTAAAGGCTTCGAATGGTCATCGTTTCATTCTTGTGGCTATCGATTATTTTACTAAGTGGGTAGATGATGCTTCCTACGCTAGTATCACGAGATCAACAGTTTTCAAGTTTATCAAGAAAGAGGTAATTTGTAGATATGGATTGCCAGAGAGAATTATTATAGATAATTCCACTAATTTGAATAATGAGATGGTGCCAAAGTTGTGTGCACAGTTCAAAATAAAGCACCATAATTCAGTTACCTATTGTCCAGTGATGAATGGGGCAGTAAAGGCAGCAAATAAGAATATAAAGAAGATCATCTCAAAGACTACTGATACTTAGAAAGATTGGCATAAGAAGTTACCCTTCGCATATCGTACTACAGTGCGAACTTTAAATGAGGCAACGCCATTTTCTTTGGTTTATGGAATGAAAGTAGTATTGCCTATTGAAGTTGAAATTCCACCACTTTGGATCTTGAAAGAAGTGGAGTTAGATAAAGTTGAGAGGGCTCAGGCTCAATATGATTAGTTGGATCTTATTGAGGAGAAGAGATTGAAAGTTATATGTCACGGTCAGATGTACCAGAAGCGTTTGATGCGAGCTCATATCAAGAAAGTTTGTCTAAGGGAATTCTTAGAGGATAATCTAGTGCTTAAAAAGATCTTGCCAATTCATAGAGACTTCCGTGGGAAGTGGATACCTAATTGGGAAGGGTCATATGTCATAAAAAGCCTTCTCTGGACGAGCATTGATTTAGGCAGAAATAGATGGAGAAGTGCTAAGAAATCCAATAAACTCATATTCTATCAAGAAATATTATGCTTAAAGTAAAAAGGAAAAGGAAAAAAGAAAAAAATAAAGAAAATAAAAAGGGGGATCAAGATAAAAATTCGCAAAGGGCGTCTTGAAACCAAAGTAATGATTTGAGTTGAAAACTCGTAAGGGCAGCTCAAATGCATGTTGATATTAGGCATATGACGATTTATACCCTCTCAAGAGTATGATATTTTGGGAGAAGTTTCACGTCTACATGCATTTTGACAACATTTGAAGTCTTCTAAACACATGCTTACATCAGTGCTCTAGAGTTGATTAGTACATAAAGGCTCATGCTAGTAATGGTTGGGAGCATTTTACTTTGTTTCTTGATTTTTTTCCTTTCTAAGATTGCCATGACTTTGTAAAGTTTTGAAATTTCATTAATGAATTGCATTTCTTTAAATCCGAGCTTTGTTCCTTATATTTTCTTTCATTTTAAGCATCTTTCAAGTGAGTCAATATGGTGAATATATAAAAACATAAGATTTCTTGGTATTACTTTGAGCTAATCTTTGGAGCGTAAGGAATCCAAAATAGTTCAATATTTCGACACTAGTGTTTCGTGATAAAGAGTGTGCATTGAGTCTATTAAATGAGGAGCTTTGTGAGCCTAACATTTCAACTCTCGTTGGAGTCTATTCATCAAGTTGATGTTATCTGGGGAATATAAGAAAGACCACAGTTTAAAAGAAGAAAAGAAAAAAAAGAAAAAAAGTAAAGTAAAAGTAAAAGTAAAAGAAAAAGAAAAAGAAAAAGAAGAAAGAGAAAGAGATAAAGTAAAAGAAAAAAGAGAAAGAAAAATAAAAATAAAAATAAAAGAAAAAACCAAAGTGAAAACCTGAAAGGGCACTTTGAGAAAATAAATCTGAAGTGAAAACTTGAAAGGTGCTTTAAAGCGATTTAAGGAATAAACGTGAAAGGAATAAATATGAAGGGTTTAATTCCAAGAGTGAGATGAAACCATGGAACCATGAGATGAAACCATGAGTTAGAACTTCGCAAGGATCATGAAGATGAAGTCCAAGTAAAGAAGAAGATGAAGTCCGAGTAAATAAGAAGAGAAGAGGCCCACAAGTTAGTGAAAATTATGGTCTTAATAAAATTGACATCATGCATTCATGTTTAGGAATATAAATAGGATCATGTATGTTCATTAATTCATTCCAAACATGTTGACATTTTTTACAGGGATGATGATTTTCAAAGAAGACATTCCCCAGCAGGAATTAGAATTCGATGAAGAACTCAACACATGTGCCTCATTACATTTTACAGAAGCTTGTTGGAGATTGAAGAAATTCATATAGGAGAACTTGTTTGATTATGACGTTCATTTCGGTGTATGATTTCATCATAGAAGGATATGGATCAGTGTCAATCTTTTACTTGATTCTTCACATAATGAGTTGAATCAAAAAAAACCTTATTTTTCTCAATTCTATCACAAAATGAGGTAGATCAGCATCGACATTATGTTTGATTCTTCACAGAAGGAGTTGGATCAATAGTGTCATTCCGCTTGATTCTTCACAAAAGGAGTTGAATCAGTGTAACCTTGTTTTATTTGATTCTATCACAGAAAGAGGTATATCGATGTTGGCAAATTGCTTTGATTCTTCACAGAATGAGTTGGATCAGCATTTTTCATGTTGTTTGATCCTTCACATATGGAATTGAATCAGTAATAACCTTTCACTTGATCCTTCACAAAAGGAGTTGGGTCACTGAAAACCATTCACTTGGTTTTTCATAGAAGGAGTTGAATCAGCGTCAACTTAGTGCTTGTTTCTTCACAGAATGAGTCGAAACAACATTACCATTTTTGCTCGACACCATCACAGAAGGTGGTGGGTCAGCTTCGTCGCTTTGCTTGATTCTTCACAGAAAAAGTTGGATCATCATTGTATTTTTTCTCGATTTCATCAAGGAATGAGGTGAATCAGCATTTCTGCATGAAGAATGAGTTTATACAGGAGATCTTGTTCAACCTAAACTGATTTCGTTATGGTAGAATGGATGGTTCACATGGGAGATCTCATCTATTATGTCCAAGAAGTTTTCAAGGTGAGAAATTCATATAGGAGAGCTTGCTCAGATTCCAGAGTTTGACTTTTTATCAGAGAGTGAAGGGTTCATATCAGAGTGAATGTCTAAAGCCTCGTTTAGGACCATATAGATGCATTTAGTTGCATGTGGTGAATATCGGTTTACCGTGGCATTTTATTTTTACAGCGGTGCTGCTTTATGGGAAAGGTACTTGTCTGATGATGTGCAGGTATTGAAAATGTTGTGACATAAGGAGATTGTTGAGTTAAATAAAAATGCTAAGTTTGACTGGTATTTAGAAAGCGCACAAGGTGAAAGAAGACATTTTTCCAGCCAGCTGTCCCCGACTCTCCGTGCCCTCTGCCCGAAAAATCCACCTCAAATATATTCCTGGAGGAATCGGCAGTACAACCGCCGGTTCTACTGATGACACCCTGCAGATCTTGTCTGTCCTTGGGCGCCTGCGAAGGGATTATGTCGGTCCATCAGCCAGCTACCCAGGCTGTATCATAGCCTGTTCTGCTCGGCTCCCAATCACTTAACCATGGTTTTTGAGGTTTCCTAGGAAAGTTAATATCAAGTCTTAGGATTTATTTTCCCCTATAAATAGAGGATGAAGCCATAATGTTAGAGACTTTAGTTCCACCCAGATTTTTGCTTAAAAAGTTAGAGAGAGAAGGTCTCATATTTCTCCGTCAATCCTACTTGTCGTGGCATTTCTCCTTGACAAGCCGGAGGGAATGGCGTCTTGAGCATCTGAGAGGAGCCATGTTGCTAGGAGCAGTGCTTGGTGACCGATGGAAGCATTGGGTAGTGCACGTCGAAGGCTTTCTCTCTTCCCTTAGTTATTTGCTTTAATATTTTTTATTGGGTTGTAAGGAACGAATAATACTTGCTTTGTGCTTGTTTATTTTGAACCCCACCATGAACTAATCCTATTTGGTGGGAGTTCAATTGGATGTTTAAATTTTTATTTCAATGAATGGTTGCTTTGCTATTCTTTAATCTGTTTTGTTTATGAAACTTAATGCCTTAAGGTTGTAGGAGCTATGAGAGTAGCCTTTCCTTAGGAGGTCTTGAGGGTTCGAGAGAATACCTTGGCAAATTATCCTTAGTGTTCGAGAGAAACTAGGGAGGAACTGTATAAGCAAGGGATTTAGGTAGTAACTAGGCCTAATCCACCTTAGAGATAAGGTTAAGATTTCATTCGACTAAAAGGAGTTATGCAAAAATGATAGGTTAGATGTTAATGCTGCCACAAAAAGGTATTGCCAAGACATATCCTATTATCTGGACCAATAGGATCACTGCAGGGGTTTACGCCAATTGGTTAGGTCAGGGCATCTTTAATCTATCAAGTCCCTTACTAGAGATAGCATAGGGAACCTTTGTAGACTCTGTCGGGTAGGCTAGGCATAGAAGAAATACCATTAAGAGAAATAGACTTAGGTTTTCCTTGTGACTCCCATCACTCATTCCCAGAGCTGCTTGTCGTGTGAGAAGGCTAAAGTCCTATATATATATATATCAAATCAAGTATTTGCATTTTATTTTGCCTTGACATATCCAATTACTACCACACCACCATCATTCCATTTCCACATCAGTCATTCTATTTTGCCATAACATTATCATTTGTATATACCATCACTAACTTTACTTAGGTGACAAAGTAAAGTTGCTTGACAAACCTATTTGATTTCCCCAATTCCCTGTGGAGACGATACTCAACTTATCACTTTATTACTTGTTCGATTGTGTATACTTGCACACATATCCGCACTCATTTTATAGTACCCACAAGAGCGGACAAGTATTTGGCGCCGTTGTCAGGGAGTTGGCAACTGGAAGTTAAATTGATTTGCTATAGCATTTTTATTTTACTTATTCATATTTTCTTTTTAGTTAGCTTTACTTGTTACTTTCCTTAATTTTCCTTCATTTATTTTTCTAGGTACATGACCCGAAGCAACCCTGAA